TATGTTTTCGTGTTTTGGTAAGATTTCGATACATGGCATACTTAAATGTACGAAACTCCCACTTAAACGGGGTCTGGGTAGGAGTTGATATACCCAACCGTACTCCCGCAAACGAAGAGGTTGTTTTCACGAAAGATTTCGATACAATAGAAAAGAAAAGAAAAAATTGTATTCACCCAAAGAAAAAAAAAATTTGTGATTAAAAAAAAAAAACTAAATTAAAGGAAGAGCATTTTCTAGTTTATAAACATGAAAAACATTGGTTAGATCTAATGAAACAAATCAGAATCTTACCATTGTTACCACCATTACCACCACTATAACCATAACCACCACCCTACTATTGCAGCCACCTTCTTACCACACCATCACACCCTACCTAGCATCACCGCCAGAACCACTAGTACCACAACATTTTTAGGGTTGCAATAAAAAATTTAAAAAAAAACAAACAAACATTAATTTCAAGATACAACTTAACTAAAAGACCACAAGTATGGAGCATGTAAATTATAAAATTATCTCCATTATAACATATAAAAGTTGTAGAAACCAAATTTTTCATCTTTAAAAGTATAAATTTTGTTGAAAAAAATATTTAAGAACTAATTTTAATTGTCACGAGAACAGTTGTTAAAAAGTTATTGCGAAAAGTAACCTTGCTTGGTTTTCAGTTTTTCAAAACAGTTTTCAGAAAATTCTATTCTCTTATTTTCCGTGTTTTTTTGTTTTTACTGAATTTTTTTAATATTTTAAGTAATTTTTTTACTTTTTAGACACACCTAACATAAATACACCTAAAAAGTAAAAAAATTGTAATTTTTTTTTTTAAAAATTCATTAAATACCAAAAATACAAAAAAAAATACAAGAATTCAGTACATTTTTTATATTTTTATGTATTTATTAATTTTTTAAAATATTTTTTCACAAATTTTTTATTTTTTAGATACATCTAAGTAAGGTGCATCTAAAAAAGTAAAAAAAAATGTTTAAAATTTAAAAAATATTCACTAAAAACAAAAAAATACAAAAACTAAAAAAGCCAATTTTCAAAAAACTTAATTCAGAAAACTCAAACCAAACACAGTGAAAAGTTTTCAGAGACAAAATTTTAAAAATATTACTAATAAATATACTTTTAGGAGAGCTGACCTTATATTTGTTTTATGGTCCTTGTTGAAGTATAGAAATGACTACATCTTTAATGGCATTCAACCAGTCATTGAAGACCTGTGTGGGTTAATTAAATTAAGAGTGGCCTTGTAGTTGAAGTCTTATCGTAAGGAAGGGGTGCTTATATACCATTAATGAGATTGTATCAAGCGTACAGTTGGTGAGAATTTGCTTTCAAGCTATTTTTTGGATCAGAGGAGAACTTTGCTTGCTGAAGCTTTGGAGGGCTGCTGCTACTGTTTTTCATTTGGTTTGGGTGGCTGCTTGTGTTCCTAGTTTGAACTTGGCTAGTTTCTCAGGGTGCCTTTGGCTGGTTTCTCACCCACTCGTGTGCTAGTAAGTGATTGGGCGTGTTTTCTTATGCTATCCTAGTTGAAATCGGTTTGTTTTGCTATGATATTCTTTGCATTCATCCTTTTTTATTTTTGGATGTATTATTTTCTTATTTTATCAATAAAGTTTTCTTTCTTTTTTGCAAATCAAAAAATACACTTTTAGCGATAAAATAAATAGAGGATCCCCTCCAGTCACTGTTTTGGACTGGACAGGGTTGTTCCAGCTCATGGGCTCATTACAGATTCTCATTTTAATAATCCAAACCGTTCATTTTGTCGGGTTTTTAGTGTATTTCATCCCCAAAAAAAAATAGGTCGATCTGGTAACTGTAACTAATTCAATTTATCACATTTTTTACAAAAAAAATTATAGGTTTTTTTTTTTTTTGGTCGTCTTTTTTTTTTGTGTAAGAAATACGATAAATTGAATTAGTTACAGTTATTGGATTGACATAATTTTTTTTTTATAGATGAAATACACGAAAAATCTGACAAAACGAACGGTTTAGATTATCAAAATAGGGTATGTGATGGGCCCCATGGGCTGAAACAACCCATCTTGTCCAAAACAATGACAAGAGGGGATCCTCCAAAATAAATTAGTTCCCAAAAAATTTACTTTTTGAGAATTTTTGGTCCTAAATGGTTAGTAATTCATCATATCCAATTTTATCGCTAAAAATAAAATAGTAACATTTTTTGTAACATAAATATTTTGTCCTTAAATTTTTGTCTCTAAAGCCTTAATTTATTGTAGTGCCCTCTCTAACTGCATAAGCTTTTAAATGAGATAGCGGTCAACAATTTGTCCTCATCTCTTGAGCAATTAGTCCATAGGTCTGGCAGACCACATAAGTCTGGCAGACCACATTAGTAATGTACCCAACCAATGAGAATAATACATAAAGGGAACAAAAACATAATACATAGAGAAATTTTAAGAACTTTGTCAATGTGTTATTAATTTAAAAAATAACTATCACTTTTTTTTAAAATTTCACTGGGTACATACCACATGAGCTGATGATGTAATCTTCCTAACCTACTAAATAATTTCTGCCTTCTTAATTTTTGCACTCAAAACTCAGCAAAAGGGTGGTTTAGATTTGTAGTTTTATCCTAATTTGAAGACTATTTTCTTATTACATTCCATATAAACCATTACTTAACATTCTTAATTATTTGGCCCTTCTTCACCAGATTTCTTTCCCGCTTAAAACTTTTTTTTTTTCTCCTCAACAAGTGTGTATAAGGAACCATGCTTCTCTCTCTCTCAAATAATCTGCAATTTTCTCAACAATTACTAACCATTTCAGTTGAATTGGCCTCATATTATCAAAACTAGTATTAATAAGACATCAATAATGCCACAGTGACTAAATTTGAGTATCAAATTTTGAATACTATCTAAAAATAACGGTAGAGCACAAAAGTAACAGCATGCGAAAGGAACATCAATATTTTTAGGTAAGCAAAAACTAAAAGGCACATCATTTTGTAAGTGATTTCTTAAGCTCTCAACCAAATGGATTTTGAAGTCAATAGATATAAAATCTTTCAAGTCAATATGTACCCTCATTTGCATTCACGTTTTCATAGTCAATTAAAGACGCCATCTTATGCAAGGTTTTGGGCCACATCTACCTTTAAGGACTCTGAAAGTTTTAAACATGAAGAAGCTTCACAACGCTCCATCACATATATTGTGTTGACCTTATTTGGTGTAATTTATGAGGTTGTTTATATATATATATATATATTTTTAAATTTAAGAAATTTGTGTTAAAGTGTTTGTTCTAGTTTTTATTTACATTTTATGATGCAGAAATAACTCATATAAATTAAAAAAATAATTATTTAAAATGAGGAAATATGTGTTTTTAACTTTTAATTTTTTATTTTTGAACTTTCAACACAAAAGAAATCGCACTAAATTGGTCGAATAATTGACCTTTGGCTTCAACAATACCCAAATGTGCAACACACCTTGCCAATCATCTTGCAATTTCTTAGCTCTTACTAGTACAGGATTGCGGAATAAGTATTGCATATAACAATCATAATATTATTAATTAATTAAAGAACTAATATGAAAGCAATGGAATTATATGGTTAAATAAGTAGAAAATAAGAACTATTTATTTATTCCATTACTCCTATCATATAATTGATAACACTAAATGAATTTGGGTAAAAATTTAAAAAATGAAAGAAATAAGGTAAATAAAATCTAATTATATGTCACACATTATTTTTTTCTTTTTTTTTTCTAAATTCATAAACCAAATATAATCAGCCCTCGTTTGGAATGAACTAATTTGCTTGACTTTTTTTTATTTTTTGACTATTTCATTTTGACTAGAAATATTATTGAAATAAATTTTAAATTTTTTATAATTAATTCAATAATCATAAAAGAAAAAATAAAATAATTATAATTTAAATATAACATTTTATTTTATTGGCGAAGTTAAGTTAAACCATGCCGGTTGGCTAAATTCAAGCCATAAGTTTCGGGGCAGTGCCATTATAAACTTTACACATGTATAAGTAAGTGATAAGCCCTCTCCTTGAACTAGTAATGATTGTTTTGAACAGCATCTTTCATAAAGAAAGCGCAAAACCCTAGCAAAGATTATTCTTTTAGTAAACTTGATTGCAAGTATCATTATCAATTCTTAGCTCTGCTCCCACTTATTTGTACAATGGTGAGTGAATCGTATGTGGATAAATATATATATATATATATTTATTTGTACAATGGTGAGTGAATCGTATGTGGATAAATATATATATATATATATATATATTGCCACCAACACTTTAATTCTTCTCCCAAACTCAAATTTGACATACCCATAGGCACCCATTTGAATTTCAAATTGAAAAATGGTACCAGAAATATTCATATAAAAAAAAAAAAAAATTTGGACTAAAAAGTGTGCAGAATAATGTGGCAATTTTATTTTTAGAATAACAAACTATAATAGTAGGTGACTTGGTTTGAAACAAAAAAAAAAATTTGAAAAAAAAAAAAAAAAAAATGAAAATCATATTATTTTGTATAAAAATTTTATTCAAATATCAATCTAAGGTTTAATTTATGCTTCATTAAATTTAAATATATATTACAAAATACATTCAAATGTGAGATTTTTCTGAAGTGTTGTCCGTTGTGACCAGAGACTCAAATCAAAAAACAAGAAAGTGAAGATTTCCCAATCTGATTCGTTAATCTTTCTTTCTCAAATGCCCACTGGAATCATGAGGACAATAATGTGGTCTTATCAATTTTGATTTTTAATGAGAGAGAAAGGTATGATGACAAGGGTAAATTAGGAAAAAGATAAAATTTCCTCATACTTCATTCCACAAAAACATATTATTATATTTTCTAAACCTAGAGAAAGTGGTTTCTCTCTTCCTTCTCCTTTGTATTTCTATATTAAAGCTTTGCCTACTACCCTCCAATCCTCTATTCTTTTACACCCACAAAGACCAGTCCAAGAAAAGCCATATTCAGCTGAGAGATCTCACAAAGGCAAGTCATGTTTCCACCTCTCTCTCTCTCTCACAGATCATCACACAGTAATATACAACAAAACCTACTTTCTTTATAGCTTTTCCACTATCAAAAAAGACTAACCCTTCTTTGCTTTTCTTGTTTTTGGATTGTTGTAGATCAAAAAAGAAAGAAAAAAAGAAAAAGAAAAAAAAAGATGATTCAAGAGCTATTAGGAGGTGGTGCTGGACTAATAGGAGAGAGAAAAATCTCCATCACCGGTGTTCTAGAGGGTTCCTCCCCTTCTCCCTCTCCTTCTTCATCTTCTCCATCTCCTTCCTCCTCTGCCGCCACCACTCCGGCGAGCTCTTCAGCCCCAGCTGAGAACCAAAACCTTCGGTGTCCGCGTTGCGATTCATCGAACACCAAGTTCTGTTACTACAACAACTACAACCTCACTCAGCCCCGCCACTTCTGCAAGACTTGCCGCCGGTACTGGACCAAAGGTGGCGCTCTCCGCAATGTCCCGATTGGCGGCGGTTGCAGGAAAAACAAGACTGTCAGTGTGACATCATCTTCCGGCAAGCCAAGTGGCGCCGCGGGGAGGTTAAAAACGGTTGTCTCATCTGAGATAGGAAAATCAACCCTAGGCCTTGTTGGTGGTTTTGATCAAGAGCTTCCATCAAACCCTATTCTATGGGCCTCGCCGCAGAATTCTCATCTGCTTGCCTTACTCAGAGCCAATCAAAACCCTAACCCTAATTCTCTCACTGTGAAGGAGGAAAGTGTTATGATTGGATCGCCCCACATGAGCGCTCGAGCACTTGGCTTGAATAACCAGGTTCCTTCTATTGGTCTGTGCAACCCTTTTTGGAGAAGCAATAATCAACAACAAAATCACCAAGCTCAAGTTCAACACCATCATCATCATCAACAAAATCACCATCAACAACAGCAACAGCAACAGCACAATGGGTTTGTACTTGGTGAAGTTCAAAACACGGGTATTCAAGATCTGTATCAAAGGCTTAGACCTTCATCAGTGAACTACTATCCTCATCATTCGCCGGTACTTATGAGCAATGTGGGTTCTTCATCTTCATCTTCTTCCGCAATTTTGGAGTCAGCTCCTGTTGCGGCTGCCGGTGAATTGGATTACTGGAACCCGACGCTTTCGTGGTCGGATCTGCCAACAACCAATGGTGCATATCCTTAAGAATCCTTTTTATTTTATTTTATTTTATTTTATTACTTTCATAAGCTAGGGTTTGTTGTTGTTGTTGTGGTGGTCTGGGTTGTGGTATATGAATATGGGATGTAGAATTATTTTTCTTCTTTGCTTTGTTGCTCTTTTTTTTTTTTTTTTAATATTATGTATGTGTGTTTTGAGGTGTGTTAATGTTTGGTTAATTTATGAGGGTGTACTTGTACCAAGGACCAAGAAGTGTTAAAAATGGGAAAATGTTAGGTTTTCTTGAAGTGCTTTTTCTGTGGCAGATTTCGCATTTTTGTTGCATAAAATATATCATAGGTATACCTAAAAGAAAGGCCTGGCTAGGATAGGACTTGAATTTTTCTAGATAGGAGGAGAGTGTTGATTTCATTCTTCTACAGAGGAGAAAAGATTTTTTTCTAAATTTTTTAGAACCAAGTAGTACTTTTTCTATTACAACAGTAGAAGATATTTGAAATAAAATATACGACAAAGAATAAACTCCGAGATAGAAGAATATATCTTCTTGGTTATCACAACTTCTTTATAGATAAATATATATATATATATATATGTGTGTGTACAGACACCACAAGACCATATCTTAGAGAAGGTGGTGGTGGTGGTGGAGGCCTGGTGGGGTGGCAAATGAAGATTCGTTCAATGTTTTTGATATTTGACTAATGACAAGTGAGTGAGTTGTGAGTGAGTGAGCGAGCGAGTGAGTTGTGAATGAAGTGGGGGTTGGGGTTAAAAAGCAGCCTTTGGAAAGAGTTTCCTTAAAACAGCAATTTGATTCTTACAGTGAGAAGGATTCCACATGCAGCCTTTTTTATGTGTCTGCCTGCCTCCCTCTGTTTGCTTCTCTGGAATTTGACAACATATTATTCCCTCTCTTCCCCTTTTGTATTACTTTAACTCACCACCATCTCCTCCCTCCTACACTCACATACACACACCACTTCCACTATCATATATCTCTCTCTCTCTAGTTTGAACATGCAAGATGACAAAGCAGCAAGTATATTACTTTTCTGCATCAAAGAGTTTTATTTCTGAACAGTTACCACATTATGCCAGTTAAATATTACATGTTACAGAGTTTTTGTCATTGTTTTATATTACCTTCTACATAAATATTTATGATCGGTTCTTTTATTTGAAAATAATTGTTAAGCAATTAATAAAAATAATTATTTAATATTTTATCAGGTAATCCGGTGACATGTTTCTATTCTCAAATGTTATGTAACGCTTCTAACTTGATTAGGTTCTTTTAGCATTAATACTGAAAATATTAACTTATCATGTATATTAGTTAGAGTAATGCTAGAAGTATAAAAGTTCTATCAAAATTTCTATCAAAATGTCTCATATGGGTGCGGGATCCACATTCCACATTTATGTGAGACATTTGATAGAAATTTTTTAGAACTTTTGAGATCTCTAACATTTTTGTATTAACTTGTCTCGTTAACATATAATATTGAAAATATTTATCATTATGATTCATAATTTTAAAATTTTACTTTCACATTATTTTGAATAACTTTTTTCTATAAAAAATTTTGTTTATTGATAACTTTTTTTAAAACTTTTATAATGGACGGTCAAATTCTGTCGGTCATGGGTTGATAAAGTGCAGGGAATCAAGGGAGAGAAATAAGAGAAGAAGAGCAGATAATTAGAAGTGTGAAACTAACATTTGAAAGGGGAAAACATTATAAATCAGAGTAATTCTAAAAAAATAATAATAAATTAATGGTAAATATCTATTTTAATAATTAAAGACATAAGTTTTTCAATGTACCTGTAATTACTTTCTAAAGATGCACTGAACAATAATTCTCCCAAAAAGAAAAGGAAAAAAATCAAAAGAATGAAAAATTGAACAATGAAAATCCAATATGTACGGCTTTATCAGTATGAAGCAAAAGAAGTGATGATACAAGTATGATAGAAGCACTCTAATTAATTATGTGACTGGAAGAGGGAGTGTATTTCATCACCCTTCTCATGATAAGAAACACTTAGGATAGGATGTGATCAAAATTTGATTATATTATTAGGATAAATATGTATGTATGTATATATATTGTCTACTTCGATATCTTATTGAATTGTTAATCACCACTTCAATTATTATAGCGATGACAACTTTATTTTTGATACTCTCATCGAATACAAAGAATTTATCCACTTCCCCATACTTTTAGATTTTAAAGAAGACAACTTTGTCATCATGGTTTTGCTTAATTAGAGCTCCAAACAACCCAGCATCATATGTAATTTCCTTGTGCACAAACTCAGCCAAGCCTTGGGGGGTTGGGGCATTGAATAATTTTTCCACGACAAATTAGTTGAATTGGGTCGACCAGTTGAGACAAATCAAAATTTTAGATTAAAATATTATTTTTTCATGTTCTTTATATTATGATTCTTTAAGTAATAAAAAAATAAATGACCAATACTGCACATTTTGTAATTGTAATAAAAGATTGAGACATTTATAAGGTTTGTAAAACTCCTCAAGTTTGTTGTGAATCATCTTTTACACTACACTAAAAATTGACAAAAGTTGAAGCATTGCATGTGGTTGCTTTCGATTTCTCAACTACAATGCCGAATGAATCGATTCAATACTAATTTTTTTTTATCTCAACTCAGATCAAACCGAACAATAAAACACCCCTAATCTCAGCCCAACAAGGTGATGCAAGTGCATGTGAAACACGGACCTGGGGTACGAGCACGGTGTTGTGCGGTCCAGTGGGCCCTTGTCTTGAGTATATTTTAATGATTCGAATCGTTTATATTATAAGGTCCATCAAACATATCATATATATAAAAAAATCAAGTTAATCAAATATGTATAACTTCATGATCAAGTCTTAACTATTTTAAAATAAATTATCAAAATTATGTTAATCGGTTTTTTTTTACAAAATAAATATGGTCTTATTTTAAAGTTACAAATAACTAATTAATTTGATTTTTTTTTTATAAATGATTTACTCAATAAATCTTATAATATAAACGATTCAGATTAATGACATAAGCTAAGATAAAGGCCCAATGGGCCGCACAGCACCGTGTTGTACCTACGCTCCCCAATTCCTTGAAACAGTATCTAATTTTTCCGGGAAAGAGAGATTTTTTGTTTTTTGGAACTGACGGGAAAGAGGTTGTACTTCATAAAGAGCAAATTGAACCACTTTATACACCATACTTCGTAAAGAGCAACTTGAACCCACTTTATACCTTGGTCTTGTTTAGAAGTCCAATATTTTAATAGGTTATTTTATTTTTTAATTATTTTAGTAGATTAAATAATTTGTATTTGAAAAGATGATTGAAATTTTTTATAATTGAATGTGATATTTATGAGAAAAAATAAAATGATTATAAATTTAACGTGATATCTTATCATATTAATTATTTTAACTTATTTTATCTTTTAAATTTTAGTTCAAAAAGTATTTAAAAAAAAAAAAATTTTCCAAACAGGGAACTGTAGAACCACATAAATCAAATAGCATCAGTTTTTGTCCCCCTAGGGGAGGTCTGGATGCATCATTGTAGCCTCACTTATGAGGCCCAAAACTTATTCCTAATGCTTCAGTATAAAATTTGAAACTGAAATTCAAATATGGACCAAGCTATTTCTCACTAGTATTTTTGTGTCATTTGTGGAACTTTTTAAGGGGAAAAAAAAAAAAAAAAAGAGAAGGCAAATAAACAACTAAAAATTCAGAATAAGATTGAACTTTTTTATTAAGATTATGACTAGGGAGAAATCTAAACACAATGACAATTGTAAAACCTTTGTCACTCCCCAATTACCTCTTCTGTTTTCTTTTTTTCTTGGTTGACAGTCACTCTCTTGTGACTGAATTACAATAGCGAAAATTTAAAATAAAAAAAAAAAGAAAGAAAAAAAAATTATAGAAGGAAAAGGTTACATGCATCAATGATGAATAATATCCTACTACTAAGGGTGTGCCAAGCCACAAAACAAAGCATTTTGAGGGATGTTATACTCCGTATACGCGCTGGTTACGCTGTTCCACACTCTAACGTACAATTGCTGACCCAAATACTGCCTCGGCCAGATTGCAGACCTCAAATTCCACATGCCCTTGTTGTCCAACGACACCAAGATCACACTCCAACCATTTGGATAGACCTACAAGAATGTAAGTATACATTGCATAAATATCACTTTCGATTTTTTTTTTTTCCCTTTTTGTTTGGAAATTATCTGTTCGAGTATTCATCGAAAGCTTAACTAAGACGCTCTAAGAAATTGTTATTAGCTACCTGGACAGTGTATCTGCTGGTTGCATCAGCTAGATTGTAGCGTTTTCTCATATCAGGTATCCACTGACCATTCCCAAATCTGATTTTCAGAAAGAAATAGTCAAGACTAAATATCGGAAGCATTGATATGGTACTATAATTTTCAACAATATATGATACATAAAGCTTTGATCACTTGGCCAAATTTAAAGTTGCATCTCCCAAGAAACATCATGGAATGGATCTCAGACTACCACAAAGCCAAGAATAAACAAAGATGACTTCAAAGATGTTTAGGCCTACATGAAAAGGGCCAAGCTTGTCTCTAGTTCAGAATCAAAGCAACAAATGTTTGCCACGTAGGCATTTTTTTTGTAAATTAATAGTTCAGATGATGTCCACCTACTTACAAACCCAATATTAGATCTAAACAAAAAAATCCAACCCAATATTTAATGGGTTCATGGATAGACAAAATCTAGACCTTCGATTTACAAAATGTGCCAAGGTGGTAAAATCTGGGAGCTCGGACTGTTCTCTCCAGTCCATATCCAGACTGGTGAGAAGTAATTCCCATATTAAAATGTTCTCTGGGCCTTCCTTCATTATCCATGAAAGTTGAAAGAGGAACAAACATAATACGACTGTCATGAAAATTGGACAAACAAAATAGCTAAAAATGAAATAACACGGAGGCGTACCCGACTGTCCAGAAATCATAGCCATCAAGATGCCAAGCTTGGACAGTTTTCTCATTATTTTGAAAGACTACTTCCACAAAGTCGTGAAGAGTAGTGCCAATGACAGAGGTGCCAAGTACTGCAGGGCCTGTAGGAGGAGTGTCCTTGATTGTGGTCAAACTGAAGACTCCAGGGATGTTAAGATAGTCAGCAAGCTTCAGAGGGGTGCTTGGGTTAACATAGGAGACATTGTTAACAGCATAGCGAAGTTTGCCATTTATCTTTGTCGCTGAGTTTGCAAGTATAATTGTCCGAACTACTGGTATTGTACCATAATGAAATGACCCTTGAGGATTGGGCCTGGCTGCATTTGCCGTCAAATTCCATCTTAAAAAAAAAGGGGGAAAAAAAGAAAGAAAGAAGAAGACAGTTCAGAATCAAAGATTAATAACAGATTAATAACTAAAAACTATGTATAGCTCCAAGGGATGGTAATGGAGACACAATGTACCTGATTGTCCGTGCTTGCTTCATGGACCAGTGAAGCTGATAAGTAGGACCAATGGGCAGTGGTTCGGTGGCTGGGCTGTTAGAACCAGCATAGTGAAGAATTGCAGTAGCAGTAAGAATAGGCTTTGTAAAACGAGATGAAGCAACAATGAAGTAGTCCTTTGGTGACCCGTTTAAGGTCACCAAAACAGCCACAGCTTGGCCAACATGAATATCAAGTGATTCATAATATACTACCTGCTGAGTATGAGCTCCTTCAACCTCAACCAGTGTTAATGTATGGCCCTGAATCCTGAAGTTGATTGAAGTTGTTAAACCCACATTCGACACCCTAAACAGATAGGATTGCCCTGAAATACAGAAACCAAACTATACAAATTTAAATGTAAATCAACAAAAGTTTCAACTTTAGCAGTTGAATGCATACAAGAAACCAAATTATGTCATTAGTCTACAACTTTCAGTGCAAGGAGACAACAAACTGGAACTAAATAATTAATGGGGATGCTTATTACCTTTTTCACCGATGAAAGAAGCAGATTTAGGAAGTCCATTTATAAGGATAGCATCAGGGAAAGGAAAAGGATTCCCTGAGTCCAGTGTTTGCTGTAATATCTGCAAGAATAAGATGATCAACAGTGTTAGTCCTCGTAACTAATAGAGAAAGTTTTAACTGGACATTTCAATATAAAAATCTGTTAAACAGAACAAAATAAGAAGGGAAAGACCTAAACAGACATTATCATAACAAACTTTTTGGGCTTGCAAGAAGAACATTCTTATCTTACCCATAAATGCATTATGTGCTTTTGCTTTGGCAACTGTATGGTTAAATTTGAAGGGGTTCCATTCTTACAACCAGAACAGACATATTCAAGAAAAAGCAGACAATTTAAACAGACTTAATGCAATTAACATGAGCTCCAGCAAGTCACTTTTGTGAAGAAAAAAACAAACTATTCTGATCCTACATCCAGATCATACAACTATGCATCCTGAACCTGTTTAGAAAGGCAATTCCTTGTGCTCATTCTCACTATCTTTGCTTGCTTGGATGGCCTCTTTTTTAGTTAAAATTTTTGTGGATTCAATTCACTATAATAAATAATCTAGTCACTGACCTCACATTCTTGCAAACCAAACCTGGTGATATGTTTTCAACCCACGTGATAACTGTCCCACCACAAAATTTTTGTTGTGTTTTTCAGAGATTTGGGGTTACAGCATTGGATTGGAAAAAATGTAAGGCTTTTATCCAATTCAGTTTTAGACCTATTTAGGAGTTCAAAATTTTGATTGAGGAACCATTTGGTAAGGGAAAAACAATATGTTTGATTGAAAGTGGATTTTTTTTTTAATATTTGATTGAAATTGGATGGTTCCTAAAAAAATCTCTCTTCCATGAAAAAAAAGAGGTGGAGTAAGTAGCACATGCAAGGACACCGACACATCTATTTTAAAAAATAGAGGACCCGACATGCTTGGGAAGTTGGGATACATTAAAATTTTATATTTTGCAAATGTATTATATGCCCACATATATGAATAAAGATAGCTATATATTTCATGAACTACAACACCACACTATTTACATAGCTATAAATTTTTTCGTCACTTAAATATAAGGTTATCATTCACGTAAGCAAATTACATTATAAAAAATGCAAAACAATTATAGAACATTTTAATACATGTAATGTTTCATCTGATAAATGTTTCAAAAATACACTGTAGAAGTTGTGTTTTGAAGAATGCAAAACATTGTTATTATGAAATGATTCATCATATAAGACGTGATTTGACTTTTTAATAAAGACATGTTGAAGACATGCTTTTGAAAATGTCCGAAGAGTGTCGGTGTCAAACACGGGTGTCGGACACGACACGCTTCCTCGGCAAAAGAGTTTGTGCTTTGTAGGAGATAGATGTACAGGGATTTAAGGTGAGAATGCTAGTAACTAATACAGAATTTTGATTTATGCTTATCATGCTCAAGCGTCATGGATTTTAGCATATGCCTAAACATAGGGCACTTTGCCAGTCCTCCATAACAAGTGCTCCACAGACATTATAACCTAAATCCTATGATATATCCAATAACTATAAGTTATAATGATACTATTTTAAGCTCTCAGAATATGATCCAAAACGAAAATATGTGGGTTTCAAAAGGGCTTGCATGGGCGAACCAAGCAAAACAAACTTGGCGTAAGCATTGCTGCATATTCCTGTAATTGATTTACAAGCCCATCTACTAGGCTGGTAAATTCAACCCAAGCCAGTTCAGGCAAGAGAATTAATGAATATTACAATAAAATATTTTATCCAAATTGAAAGGAAATTTTGAACAACTTTTCATTTTATGGAAAACAGAAGAAAGGGCTCACAGACCTTGTGATCAGACTTCCACCAATCATTGACAACTACTGTGAATTCGTCAGCAGGTTTGTCATAAGGTACGGGTATAATTGACCTTGATGCGACATTGAGCCCCCCAAAACCACCAGCAGCTCTATGCATCAAAGTCGAAGGAAAATAGGAGAAGGTCCCTATCTGATCCTTCATTTGCATCTTGTATGTCCAGTTTGTGTTTGGAGGGATTGGGCAATTCGTTCCAAGCACTCCATCTTGCCATGAGGACTTCCTCTGTTTAATTCCATTCCTGGATCCAACCACAAAACCATTATTTAGGAGTTGTAGCTTTACTTCTAAATCCACATTCGAACCAATAAAGAAAAGAAGAAAAAATACCCACTCCTGCACACTGTTCCCACCAAGTAAGTGAACACACTGAAAACAGGAAATGTATAAAAAAGACACAAAATATTGAGAGTTCTTGGAATAACAACTTCACCTTCAAAACTAAGTTCCCCTATTAAGTTTGAGATAGAGTTCTGCTTAGAAATGTAAGTGACTAAAGAACAGACCCCATCCTCTTCAACCCCTTTGGAGAAAACTTCCAATTATCACATTTCTTCAACTTTTTCCTTTTATGTTTATATACGTGTAAAATGAAAGAAAAAAAAATAAAAAAATAAAGAGATTTATCAACCAACAAAAAAAAAAGAAAAGAAATAAAGAGTACTCTTTTCCCATAAATCCCCGTATGTCATTTGCAATAGATAGATACAACTTCAAAAAAATTAGTTTCCTTCCATGTTCCTTTTTTCTTTTGTTTTTCAAATTACACACAACGAAGACAGCCTAAACCCTATGGAATGAGTGCTGGGCACTTCTTCCACACCAGAGAGTAGGCATAGACAAATTTTGAAGCCCTTAGATGGAAAGAACAGTACAATACTTCCAAACAGAATGAACAACCTCAATGTCTAACAGCCATGGGTAGCTTTTAGTAAGGCTCAATAAACAGCGGAATAGATGTATGCCAACACATTGAATATACCTTAGCACAAGCTGCAAATCAAATATTTAAACTAGGTAACTTCTTCATGCTCAATTTATGCCTGTAAATGATAGACTCTAAGGCCTCGTTTGTTTGGGATTTGGCTTTTTAGTAATTTTTTGGCTTTTTATGAGGTGAATGACTTTTTAGTTGTATGGAAAACGTGAATAACTGGTATGTTTCACTTGCTTATTTAGTAGCTTTTTTGGATTTGACATTTTTTCTTTTTTCGTCTTTTCTAGCCAAAAAACCAAGTTCCCAAATGAGGCTTTAGCTAGAGCTGACAACAACATGATCCATATCTAGGCCACTTAAGGACCATCTTGATATTTCTTAAGCAAGAGACTCCTAAGATTTAAATCAACACTCTGGCATGGCAGGAATTAAAAATCACAGAATAATGACCCTCCTAGCCCAATTACCTATTCAATTGGTATGAAAGTGCAGAAAACGCCGTATAATGTTAAGTTGAGACACACATTGACAGAAGCCCATTGGAGCAAACAAGCAAGAGGCACATATAGAAGAGGAAGGGAAGGATGCAAACACTGACCATGTAATGAGGAAAGGCTCATCCAGATTATTAATGACATCAACAATTACATTGTCGTTAGTGATGCAGTCAAGTGTGGGTCCAGGAAACTGCCCATTGATAAGGATGCCCTACAAAAACCCCAGAGAAAAGTAAAGATGAAGCGAAACTGCATAAAAGAAAAAGAACAATTAAATGTGGCAGGTATTGACTAACAAAAATGGGGTTGGAAAATCTACCCGTTGGTTGACACCGAGAGGAGAAATTGTTCCATATGTAACCTCCAATGTAAAATATCTATATGGGTCTTCAGCCTTCACCCATGAAACACTCAAGCAAGCAAATATTCCGAGAAAAATTTGCAGAAAAATGGAGCGTGTCATTTTATTAGAATACATTCCTCCAAGAACCTGTCTCCACCCGAAAACAAAGGATCACAGAAAACATGTTAAGAGCAATGCAATTTGAGTTTACATCCTGCTCAAATTTAAAAATTAGAATAAAGTTTGTTAAACAGTTAAAACAAGAAAACTTAGCTGGAGTCTAGACACCAAATTTTGAAATCAATTTAAGATATAAAATCAGATATGTTGTTGTTCATCATGAACTATATACAAGTGAAAAACTCTTGAAACATATTGCTCAAGTTACATTTAAATTTCCTAACCATGAAGAATTCAAATCCTAATGAAGTACAATATTACAATTTCCAAAAACATTACGCTCATTCAAACATATAGACGAACAGATAACTTACAAGTTTGAAAACCCAATAACGAAAAGAATGAATCTATCTCCCCAATTGGTAGAGGAGACAGAGAAGCAAGCGAAGATGTATGCCGACGATGATTTGTTGAAGTAAGAACACCAAGACTTATATACAAGCAAGTAGCACTGAAAGCAAAACATCATCTTAATCTGAAAGTGTAACGTGGACTCGAGTACCAAGAAATCGATCTCGTTTGCGGCGCACTTCATGCTAGCGACCCAGACAGACTGTACTTGTTCTTCACAACCCATTTGCAGCTCAGTTGTGAATAACCAACCCATTAATCTATTTGACCAAAATTTCTCGATATTCCCAAATCTTTCTTCCATTAAAAGAAAAATATATTAAAAATATATGTACATATGTAACACAATGTTCATTATTATTATTTTATTATTATTATTATTTTGGTTCTTGGAGTGAAATTGTAAAGAGTACAGTGGTGTAATGTGGTGTTTAGATTTGGAAACGTCGGTGGTGAGATGGGGAAGGAAGATCTGGGAAAGAAGCGAGAACGACGCAGCCGAGAGCGGATCGTCATTAAATGCGATTCAATTGGGGGTTAATAATTGACAATCAAGAAATAGAAGGACATAATTTGAAAATTAGGGTTTTGGGTTTTACAGAGAAGGATTGGCTGGTTGGTTCACATGGAAGCGAAAACAATGGGAGGCTTCGGTGGATCGGGTCTGAGAAGCACTACACAAGCTCTCTCTGTGGGGGTTTAGTTTAGGGTTTCGACATTTTGGAGGGAAAATTTTATTTATTGTATCAACTGTATTTGGGAAGGTCGTTTATTCCCATTTTGACTTCCCGCCATCTGCCGCCACTTGGTTTTTTTTTTTTTTTTTTTTTTAAATTGCATTTTTTAAATTGCACCGACTTTATATTTGGATTTTAATTAATGGATAAAAATGGGAAATAAAATTATTTATGCAAGCATACTTTCTTTTAGAAAAAATTTAACCAGAGAAATGAATATTTTGATCCATATATATATTTACTTTCTTCCTATTTTCTTGACCAAGCAAGCAAAGTCATTTTCTTTTCTTATTCCTTTTTTCTTTTTGTTACCCTTCAATTATTCAAGCATTCTTATATAAAGAATTTTTTGTTAAGATTTTTTTTAAAAAAAAAAAAATTGAGAACGAGGTCACAAGTAGGTCGATAAGGATTCAGATTGATTTTGATGTACTTTAAATTTGATTATAAAATAATCTGAATGTAGAATCCCATTCAACTACAACAAATTCAATCATGAAAATCCAATCCATATGGTATTCGATCCAAAATATAATCTAACCCATTTTGTTATAACACCTTTTTCTAGGAGAAAATTCAAAAAAATGATAAGTAAAAAATATAATTATAAAGTGAAGAAGATACAAATCTTATTTGCATAATTCAATGCATGATTCGCTTGTACATTCATTACTTTGTAATTATTTTTTCTACTCTCAATTTTTTTTGATATTCCCCCAATCTATTTGAATTTCACTTTTTTCTTTTTTTTTTGCCAATTATTTTTAAAACATAATAATCTATATACAAATAAAAATTAAACTATAAAAATCATATTGGATTTAACCAAATGATTAACGGATGAAATATTCATTAACCGATTCGGATTTTCCAATCAAATTCAGATTAAATCCAATGCACACATAATTCTTTATCTTTATGAAACTGACTGGCCACAGCTCTGTGAACTTCCCCGCTTGGAATCATTTTCTTCAAGTCAACTAACTTCATTCAGAGTGTATCCCAATGACAGATTTTCCATACAAAATTAGTAGATAGAATGACACTAATACCAAGCACATGTGAAATTAATAAATTCCCCTCATGTGCCCATAATAATGTGCCTCAATATAATTTTAGTAAAATATCTCATGTCAATTGGGTTTTTGGCAATTTGCAGCCCAGACTGCACTGGCTTAGCGCCCATCACTTGTCAATGACATTGCCATTGCCTACTATTGAGTTGATAAATATATACATTTTTTATTTGGACATTTTAACTATTGAGTTTGTATTAATGTGATCCAGTAGTAATTGTCGTCTAGTTTTCTAACAAGAAATACCACATTATGCTAAAATATTTTTCATTTTGTCTTCTTTCATAATATACTTACTCATTTTGACAATTTAAATATTGTGCTTTTTCCGTTTTGACTTTTTTTTGTTTAATGTGACGTGACATTTTTTTTTGGTTAAAAAATTAGATGGCAGCGGCCCAACCAAACCATACTGACAAAAATTCAATAAATGGAAAGAGCAAATTGAAAGTGCAGCTTTTCTCTTTTTCTCTCTTCTGTAATCAGAATTTTGATATGGTTTGCTTTTGCAGTTGTTTTCTAATTTTTGAACACGCACAAAATGAAATTCATCAGTTACTTACAGTTACAAATACCATAGCAATTAAACATCTTTTGCTCATAAACGTAGTATCGAATGCAAGTCAAACCATCCATTGTAATCACAACTAAAACAATTGTACTAGAAATACAGAAGAATTTGATAGAATAAGACGCAGATAAAAACTTCAGTGCATTTAGACTTTCTCCAATTAAAATAGGAACTACAATGTTAGAATACGGTAATAGAAGGTTGTCCACAACCACAACCAAAGTTGAAAACAAGCACTTCTACACCTCAATTTCATACGGTACTTGTTACACTTCAGCTACAGAAATCAAATGTGGAAACATAACAAGAAGGAAGAAAAACATAAATTATGATTTAGGCAAAAGTAGTTTTTTTCCCCCTCTAATTCTCAAACAACATTTGGCTCCCAGCCACAACTTTTTCACAAAATAAATCCAACTAAATCAAACTAATTAGGTAATCACTCGGTAAAAAAATAAAATTAACCTATAATTTTTGCGATATACAAATCAAGAAGCCAAAAGATTTAGAAATGACTGAAAAATAAACAGTTGTGTCTTCTCTTGCAGTCAAGCTCTCATGACTGAAAAATAGAACACTGAAAAGATGGTCATATCAAGGGTGTTGTCCAACAGCTTTTCCACAAAGAAGTGCATTATGAGGAATGTCATATTCGTTAGCAAGGCTGTGGATTGCGGTGTATACCCTGAGATAGAATTGCTGCCCAAGATACTGCCTTTCCCACATTGCAGACCTCATATTCCACATGCCCTGGTTGTCCAATGAGATCAATATGGCGGTCCACGAGTTCGGATACACCTGCAAAAAAAATCCAAGCATGTAAGGAAAAGTTTAGGTGAATATTAGGTGATATTAGTGGCAAATACCATGGCTCAATTTGCGAGGTATGAGGTATTTGGTTAAGTTTTTAGAACTTATTTTTTGTTTTATTTATTTATTTATTAGGAATTAGTTTGACAAAAATAAACACTCAGAAAAGATTTTTTTAATTTCAAAAATTATTTCCGACCCAAAATAGAGAAAAGCATATGAAAATAATGATGAGTGTTTTTTATTTGCATCAAACTAGTTTTTATTTTCTATTTTTCAAAATACACTGTTTCTGAAAACAACCAAACAGACCAGTGTTTAGGTTACCTGTACAGTGTGCCTTGTAAGAGCGTCAACTAGATTGTAGGACTTTCTACTGGCATTTGTCCATTGCTTAGAACCATAACTGTAAAATAGTTAGGAGTGACAAATGATCAGCAACAAAATGCTTCACAAAAGAAATGAAAAGGACAAGCAAAGCAGTCACTTACCCAACAACCCAAAAATCATAGCCATCAAGATGCCAAGATTGCACAGTTTTTTCATTGTTTTGGAAAACAACTTCAATGAAATCATGTAGGGAGGCAGGCACAACAGACGTAGATAGGAATGGAGGGCCTTCGGAGGGAAGGCTTTGGATAGTATCCATACTAAAGATTCCGGGGATGTTAAAATAATCGGCAAGCTTCAGAGGGGTATCGGAATTAATGTAGGAGACCCTGTTAACAGCATATCGTTGTTTCCCGTTGATTAGAGGTGCTGAGTTGGCCAACATAATTGTCCTTGCTATCGTAATATTTCCATAGTGGTACGATCCCTGAGGGTTGGGCCTAGCTGCATTCGCTGTCAAGTTCCACCTTCGAGAAACACAAACAAGAAGGGAGAGGGAGAGAGGTATAGAGGGAATCAGTATACTTCCTTAAACATTTCAATGTCCAATGAATCAAAGGCTACATTTTATCCCTTTTTTGGCTCATTAAGAATACATTTGTTCTAATGGAAATTACAATCAGGAATTGTAAAGGGTTCCCTAATTTGACTCATGTCTATGAAGAAAAATCATTCATCCATCTCACAACTATCAATGACAAATTGGAATTGTCATCCCAAGAAAAGCTTGAGTTGATCCCATATCATTAGTTGTTATAGCTCCAATTTTTTTCAAATCACCCAACTAATGATGATGAGTTTTTAACTTTAAATTCCATCTAAAACACTATGAAACCACTCAAATTCCACTTAACAGCCGAACACATTTAATCTACTCTGTTATAAGTTGAAAACAAGACTAAATTTTAGGTGTACACATGCAACTTCCAAAATGAATACCTGTGTGTGGGTGTGAGTACAGTTTTTCTCGTGTATATACCTGAGGGTTCTGGCTTGCTTCATAGACCAGTGTATTTGGTAAGTCGGACCAGCAGGCACAGGTCCAGATACTTGGGTTTGAGAGTTTGTGTAGTGTAACACTGCTGTAGCTATGAGAACATGCTTTGTAAACCGTGAAGATGCGACAATGTAGTAGTCCTTTGGAGACTGATCCAATTTAACTAAGACAGACAAGGATTGGCCAACGTGCACATCTAGCGAATCATATGTGTTCTGAATGACATGAGAGCCTTCAACCTCAACTAACTTCATTGTATGGTTCTGAATCCTAAAATTGAAAGCGGTCGACAAGCCCACATTTGAAATCCTGAACATGTAGGTTTTGCCTGATATGCAAAAGAAAGTGGAACATTGTTAACAAAACGCTATCTCACAGGACTAAACTACCTATTCATAAGTCACTACATGGAAATTGTAAAAACATCCTTTGAATGAAAGCCTAGTAGTAATCAAGTGATGAGGATGACCTTGATCACCAGTAAAGGTAGACTCAGGCAAACCATTTATAAGGATGGCATCAGGAAAGGGAAGAGATTTCCCTGAATCCAAAAGTTGCTGCAATTCCTGCAGACAAGAAGACATGTTATTACAGTATGACAAGGATGTACATTTCATTCAGGCACCATTCTGGCGTGATATTTTCACCAGCCATATATTAGATTCCAACTAAATTCACATCATGTATTACCAACTAAAACTACACCCTTTTCTGGACTTCTTTTTATAGAAAAATACAAATAAAAAAAAATAATCAATTTTTTACATTTTTAGGATTGTCTAGTCGAGAGACGGATCTAGAAAGTAGAGATATTTGACATAATTTATATATTTAAAAAAAATCACTAAAGATGAAAGGGGGATTTGGTCAAAGTCTCCTCATAACAAAACTTTAATACATTAATAACAAACACAAAAAGTTTTCCTTGAAAAATCCAACACATACCATTATTATCAAAATATTAAACTTTAAAATAATGAACAATGCTATATGCACTAATTAGTGTGCACACTAGTGTACCAATAGATGATATGACATAATTTTAGAGATTTTGACTATTTATAATTTGTATAATAAATAGGGTCATTAATGATATCATAACACTAGCAAGTACACTAGTGTGTACACTAATTGGTGCAGGTAGCACCACCATAAAATTATATAACTTTTGATGTAGATGTTGATTTTTAATAAATTAATATCTTTAGAACTCTCTCATCAAGATCTAATCAAATAAGATCCATGTTGCTATGAAATTCTTAGAGGAAAAAGAATTATTACCGTCGCAATTGATATAAACAGTAACAGCAATATGTTACTCTATTTGAGAGTATCTGTCTCATAATAACATGTTACTCTTTTAGAGTAACTCTATTTGAGAGTAATATGGTACTTTGTTTGAGAGTAATTCTATTTGAGAGTAATATGTTACTCTGTTTGAGAGTAACAAGTCATTCTGTTTGACAGTAATTCTATTTGAGAGTAACTCAATTTGATAGTAACATGTTACTATGTCCCACAGTAACATATTACTTGTCTCACATTAATATGTTACTCTGTTTGACACTAACTCTATTTGACAACAACAATGCTACAGACCACTAAATTTCTACCACTAACACCACCACTAATGATGTGGCAAGTTAAAAAAAAAAAACAAAAAACAAAAACTAAGACACAAAACACATGTGGCAGTGGGTGGGACCCACTGCCACATCCCTAGTGCAACCACTAATTAGTGGTCTGCATCATTTTTCATTTGACAATAACTCTATTTGAGAGTAACTCTATTTAATAGTAACATGTTACTCTGTCTCAGAACAACTCTATTTGACTCTGTCTCACAGTAACGCTGTTTGAGAGTAACTCTATTTGAGAGTAACATATTACTCTGACAATATTGTCCAAGAAAAAAAAAAAAAAGAGATATTTTACTTTGTCCTTGGTCAATTATGTGTTTTCTAAATAAATTAAATTGTCGTTTTCACTAAATAAGAGTCTAATTGAGGGGTTTTGGCTAAATTTTCCAAGATGAAAATAAGTCTAACTAACAAAGCCAAAAAAGCAAACTCCCAATAAAAGCCCAACTAAGAGTAGCTTTCTGAGATAAAATCATACAAGAATTTTTCCACAAGGGGGGAAAATAAGAAAAAACATCGCGCAGTTTGGATCCAGCTCAACAACCTGGCTCCATCGTGTTGGTCAGATTGACCAATCAGAACTTTTAACATCAATTAGCATATATTCCACAGGATGGATTTCAACAGCTTTTTTCATCCGGTTACAAATATCATTTTCCATTCCACAAATGCAAGAATAAGAACCAATTCTACAGCCGTTGACTTAATTTTAGAACACAAAGTTCACAAAAGCATCTGACCTAATACTATTCCTAGTGATTTAAAGAAATGCATACTGACAATGCCATTATTTTTAAGAATTTCATATATAAAGAAAACAAATACTTAAGTAGGTCAAAAAAATATGAACTCGTACCTTATGGCTAGTCTTGGACCAATCACCAATAAGTAAAGTAAAATCCTCAGCAGGTTTAAGATATGGTATAGGGATCACAGATCTCGCATAGACATTTAGCCTTCCAAACCCACCAGCAGCTTTGTGCATTAGAGTTGATGGGAAGTATGTGAAGGTTCCAATCTGATCTTTGGTTTGGTACTTGTAAGTGAAGTTCGAGTTTGGAGGGATGGGGCAATTAGTGCCCAAAACTCCATCTTGCCAGGAATTCTTCCTCTGCTTAATTCCATTCCTAGAAGTGAAAAATTAGTGTTATTAGACCATGTTCTATTGTAGATGCCACATAAATTAACAGAAATTGCACAAAAGGAACATTAAATTACGTATGTATGCATTGTTAAATGCAATGTTAACAACACTCTTTTCTCAAAATGTAACACTTCTTACATTGGAAAAAGAAAAGCAACGTATCAAACCAAGTACATCTTGCCTTGAAGGAAAATATTGATGAAGGTCACATTCATTTGAAAAATTTTGCCTCGGAAGTGATTGATATTCTTTTTTTATTTTATTGTGCATTGAATGTCGTAGCTTCGGAGGACATGAACCCTTGACCTCCTCGTGAGGTGCAGAGGTTAATGGGCTAACCCAATTGATTAGTAGGCTATTCCTATGCTCTTATACACATTCCCAAATCATGCTCATTTTTTTTACCTCTTGGCAACCCTTCATTATCCATTGAACATAATACACATTGGATGAAGCACAACTTGTAAGCTGCCCAAATTAATAAGCATCGGGATAGAAATGTTCAGGTAATTTATTCAATTAGCCAAAATGTTTTTAAAAATATATATATATGTGTGTTTAAGGTTAGGCAAGGCATCAAGTTGACTTCCCCTGTAGTTTGAAGATCAAATATGTCCAAATCAAGGAATTTAAAATTTCGGTAATACATAAACTTATGCCAAAAACAGGTCTAAAACTAAAAGATGGGCCAAGACAGTGAACGAGAGAGAGAGAGAGAGAGAGAGAGTCACCATGTCAAGAGAAAAGGGTCGTCGAGCTTATTAAAAACATTGATGACAATGTTGTCATTAGTGACAACATCAAGTGGAGGACCAGGAAATTGACCATTGATAAGGATGACCTTCAAAATCAAACATTAAAAAATTTAAGAAATCTGAAAACTAAACTGCAAATCATCATCAGTTATTGAAAAAACCAAAATGCATGCAGTATATATAACCAAACCTGTTGAGCGACACCAAGAGGAGAAGCTGTTCCATAAGTGACAGTCCATGTGAAGTATCTATAAGCATCCTCTGCTTTCACAATAGAAACACTCAACAGAGCCAGAGCAACAAAAATTGGAAGTAGTAACACTGATCTCCCCATTGTAGCAGAAAAGCAAAGAAACCCACAAATCTCTCCTGTCTACAAATCAAACGAGAGGCCACAAATCAAAACCCACAACACAAACATATATACAAACACAATGCATATGTTATACACAAAGAAACAAACAAAGAAATAGATAGATAGAACGTACCAAGTGAAAAGAGAGTATTCTACCCACAAAAAGAATAAAAAAGAAAAGAAGAGAAGATGTGTCTATCTCTGCATGGAGAGATCAAGAAAAGTCTGGAATGAAGTGGACAAACAGGGTTGCATTGTATACATATATATAGATAGATGAATGAATCCGAGGAGACAATAAGAGAGCGCGTAAAGAAGCTTCAATGGGTATGCCTGGGGTGTGGTGGGGGTGAGTAGTATTATTGTATTGGAATTTTAATAAAAGAGGGATATGTAGGTGGGCAAAGCGGAGAATGAGCCCATTTGCGCCGCATTTCACGCGGTTCCAGGTAATCATGAGCCGTTCAAGTTTATCACGAGGTTGAGGAGAACGTATTCGGTGCTTCTGGTTTATTAATGCCTTTTTTTTAATGGTCTTTTTTTATTTTATTTTTTTTACTCAGGAGAGGAAAAAAAATTTACACAAACATGGTGGGTGTAAATAATCTTGTGATGGGGGTGTAATTCAAATTTTGTGGGGATGAAGTCTAGCTTATACTCCTATAATTTTTTTGTAGTTACAATTTAGTTATTTTCTTCTTTTTTTTTTTTTTTTTTGGGGTTTTTTTGGGGTTCGGATATCAATTCGGGAGACTATTTAGACTTGGAAGATCTATTTTGAGACTAATTTCGATAATCTGAACCGTTACTTTTTGAGACTCATTAAGTAGAATATTTATGTAAAAAAATCAAAATGATTTGATATCGGTAACTATATATTTAAATCATATTTACTTTTAAAAAATTGACAACAAATATAATTTCAAAAATGGTTATCCATTTTTTTATAATATAAATTTGATTCAAACATATAGGCATCGATATCCGATCATCATAATTTTTTACATAAATATTTTACTTAATGAGTCATAAAAAGTAAACGATTTAGATCATTAAAATTGATCTCAAAATGAACTTACTAAGTCCAAACACTTTCTTAAGTTGATATGAACAACTTAAGAGAAACCAAATATCTTTTTTCAAGTTTTTGTTTTTGTTTTTGTTTTTTTTTAATTTGATAGAAATTCAGAATTACAATAATGATACATTTACCACATTTCTATATTTGTCAACAGTAATAGGGAAATGTCTCGTAACTCAAATTTTGTGGCTCAAATGGCCAAAATGACGTCGTTTTGGCCATTTTTATGTTGTTTTGTACTCAAAACGACGTCGTTTTAGCTATTTGAGCCACTTTTAAGCCACAAAATTTGAGTTACGTAGCATTGTCGACAATAATATATGTTCCTCCATCAATCTCTACAAAGATGAAGCGTGGCTGTTGTGTTATTGACATAGCACTCATTGTTGCTCAGGTGATAGGGTTAACTTCATGTCTTATTTTGATAATTTAAATCGTTTATTTTTTAAAATATGTTGAGTAGAATATTCTTACAAAAACTTAAGTAATCAAACATCAATAATATTATCATCAAATCAATTTCGCATTTAATTTTATACTCAAAATTACAATTACACTTATTATTTATTTTTACTGATACAAAATTAATTTGGTTATCGATATTCGACCAATTTCATTTTTTATAAAAATATTCTATCCAATATATTCTAAAAAATAAACAATTTAAATTATTAAAGTATCCTCGAGGTGGGCCCATCAATGAAACAGCATCCATCCTTCATCCCTAATAAAATGATGACAAATTTAACAGCATCCATCCTTCATCCCTAATAAAATGATGACAAATTTAACGCTTTCACATTACCCACATATTTAATAGGTCACATTATGTTTTAGAATAAAATTGTTGCTAAAAACGTTAATGTGTTTGATTATTGTTAAATTTTCTAATTTTCTTCACATTAGTGGAAGAGTTGATTTGAATGACGGCTTTGTTTTTGTTAGTTAGTTTGTTTTTTTTTTTTTTTTTTTTTTTTTTTGAAAATTTACAAATAAAAAATTCATGCAAAAATATTACAAGAATAATATAACAATGTCATTTTTAAAATTATAAGTTATTTTAAAGGGTCTTTTAATTTGAAATAAATAGACACACTTGGGTAAAAAAAAATTATATAATTTTTTTATTTGTATATCATTACTATTTTCTTGTTCCATTGTTACCTTTCCAACTAAAAATAAACAATTTTTTTCTACTTAATTAATCAAAAAATAATTAAAAACACCAAATTAATATTTTAGTATAAGTTTTTTCATTATCTTTTGATCACTTCTACGTTGCTTAGTGTTAAATATACATCATCTCTCTAAACAATTGGATTGCATGTGCATAAAAATGTTTGACCCATTATCTCTCTAAATCACCAAATTAAATCATATAGTTTAGATTTTTCTCAAATTAATTGATTTTTTTTTTTCAAAATTCAAACAGTCCAATGATCCAAGAAGCCACATATTCATGTGACTCACTTAAGTCAATGGTCCAAAATGTCACGAGATTAAGATAAATATATTATATATGATTCATCATATAAACATATTTTTTTCAATGAAATAATTCAATCAATAGAAAATAGAAGAAATTACTTTTAAATTTATTTTATTTTATTTTATATATTTTTTTTTTCTTCAGTTGGAGAAGGGGATAGAGTAGAGGAATCCCAAGCACGATTCATAATTGATTAGTTTAATTTAATTCAAGGGTAAATTACAAACACACTCCTTGAGATTTACTTAAATTACAAATTATCACCTGTGGTTTTAGAAATTACATTATGTCCCCTACGGTTTCTAATTTCATAACAAATAGGTCTTTTATTAATAAATCATCAAGTTAATTAACAGTTTTTAATAATGTTAAAATTTTATTTCAATTAATATTTCTGATAATTTTATTATTGTGTAGGTGAAAAGTTAGAAATTTTATTTTTTCAATTAATTCTGTTAAATAAAAAATTCTGATAAAGAGGTATTTGTAATTTTCCAAACCATTGATGGCAATTCCTATTTTAAGCAAACCTTAGTGAGTGTATTTATAATTTACCCAAATTTTTTTATAATGCAATTATTTTTCTGCTCACCAGGTTGCTGCTACAAGTCTCATTGCAATTTGTGAGCGAATTGGCCCAGATTTAACGGCATTGCATGTTCTGCCAAAACTCAAAGAGCTATTCGATGAGCTTGCTTTCTCTCAAGAAACCAGCATTACTTCTGGTTCTCTGGAGAGAAGCTTCAAGGTTACCAAACGAAAAGTAGATGAGGAGGATCCAATTGAAAGCCATATGGACCTTGTGTGGGTGCTAGTATTTTCAATTGGAGTCAATTCATAACGTCTTACCTTAATGTCATTTTTAGCGTGTGTTAACTTAATCTGGACATTTACAGGTTGCTTATATATCCCCCCTTCACTTCTCTTCTTAGTATAGAGAAACTTCGCCAGTGTTGTGCCACATGGTTGCTTCTTGAGCAATTCCTTCTACGGTGCCATAACTGGAAGGTATGCTTGTTTCATGGTTCCGAGACTAGTATCCTTTTTTTTTCTTTTTCTTTTTTTAATTTACAAAACAATCAATTCTACATGCTCAAGCACATTTATACTTTATTGCACTTCACAGGCCTGAACTGTCATGATTCAGTGGGAATATACAAGGAAGTCCTCTTGAAGTGGTCCAGACTATTGTTTCTAAAGGGCCTGTTTTTAGCAAGAGCTCAACATCTTCTGAATACAATCCTGCTAAACTGTTGCTCAATGGGGTTGGGTGGTCAATATTACAGTCACAAGGAAATAGGAGTGCCAAAAACTTGATGCCTCATAAGCGAGCAAGTGACTGGGAAGGGCTTTTTGGCTTTTTGACTTTTTTGAATTTTTTTGTGAGAGAAGAATGTAATGATTATGGGTTGGATGTGATGTTTTGTTTGTTATGGCTAAAATAGCATATTTTGTCTTTTTGTGGCTAAAATAGCCAAAAAAGCCCAAGAACCAACTTGCCAACTTGTTGTGGCTATTTTAGCCCAAGACCCACATCCCAAACATAGCCTATATATCTAATCATTTATCTCATCTAATTTATAATATAATTTTTTGCTCACAATTTTATCAAAGACGAATTACACTGACGATCTTTATTGTTTGAGATTTGTATCACTTTAGTATATGACTTTCTAATTATGACATATTTGACCCTTAATTTTGAATCTTGTTTCAAATAAGGACAATTGACAATCCATTTCTTAATTTCAAGGGCAAAGTAGTCAATTTAATAAAATATAACCTAGTTTGACAAAAATAAATATAAAAAAAGTTATTTTTTAATTTTAAAAAATTATTTATACCCAACAAAGATAAAATTATATCGGATTGAATTTTTTTTTTTTTTCATATTTTTTTTTTTTTTTTTTTGTTGGGTTCATGTGGTGGACCATTTAACCACATTTAGCGCAGTAACAAAGGGAGAAAGTTGAGTTTTTTTTTTTTTTAATATTCCATAAAAGAAACTATTTAGAGAATTGACTTACTTTTTAAATTATTTGAAAAACTAATCTGCTTTTGAAATCGCATTTTGAAAATATGATTTTGAAATTGAAAATGTATTTTCAACATGCAATTTCACCTTGAAATCACATGTTGAAAATGCGATTTCAATTGAAATCGCATGTTAAACATACAATTTCGCCATGTCATCATTTTCAACTTACAATTCAAAATCGCATTTTGAAAATGCAATTTCAAAAAGTAAGTTAGTTTCTTAAATAGTTTGAAAAATGGATTAATTCTCTAATTAGTTTTTTTTTTTGGGGAATATTTATAAAAAAAAACTCAGAGAAAGATTGATGTTTTACCGAACAATTTTTTTTTTTTGCGCAAAAGAAGGTACATTCGTCAGCAAATTTTACATATTTTTATAATTTTTATGGAAAAAAATTGTAAAATTTTATTTTAAATTTATTAATAAGTGACTTGCTAACAAAATATTAAAACAAAAATACCATAATTCTATGACTTTACTATAAGATAAAAGGATTAACTTGGTGGATGAAACGATATTTTACCAATCATGATCTCTAAATGTGAGTCTTCCAACTCATGATGCAACTTTTCCTTATCTTGTTCCTTCCTATAAATTGTTAAAAGAAAATAAAAATTCAATTAATTTATTTTATTCTTGTAATTAGTTGATATAACTTGAAGAATTGATGTGATTAATCTCATTTCCCTCAATTATTTTTGGGGGGGGAGGGGGGAGAAAGGAAAAATTATCACATAAGTCCACTTCATATTGGTATGTCTTTGTAATTATATTGGTTACATACTCATTATTTCTAATTTTTTCTCCTATATTTATTTCATAAAGTAACCAATAAAATTATAAAGACACGCAACCTAATTGAAATTTCTAAATTCCGGATAATTTTTCTGAGAGAAAGAGACTACAAACTCATTCAGTGTGTTTGGTTTCAGTTTTCTAGAAATTAAATTTTTTGTTTTTCGTATTTTTTGTTTTTAGTGAATGTTTTAAAAATTCAAGCAATTTTTTTTTAAATGCACCTTACTTAGATATATCTAAATAGTAAAATATCTGTGAAAAAATATTTTTAAAAATTAATAAATATAAAAAAATCTGACAAATGTACTGAATTTTTATATATATATTTTTGATATTTAGTGAATTTTTTAATGTTTTTTTTCACAAATATTATACTTTTCAAGTGTATTTATGTTAGGTGTGTCTAAAAATTAAAAGAATTTGCTTAAACTATTAAAAAAATTTTTTTTATAGATACACCTTACTTAGATGTATCTAAATAGTAAAATATTTGTGAAAAAATATTTTTAAAAATTAATAAATACAAAAAAATGTACTGAATTTTTATATTTTTGGCATTTAGTAAATTTTTTAAAAAAAATTTTCACAAATATTTTACTTTTTAAGTGTATTTATGTTAAGTGTGTCTAAAATTTTTTAAAAAATTGTTTGAAATATTAAAAAAATTTATTGAAAATAAAAAAATACGAAAAATAAAAAATTAATTTTTTTTTGAAAAATACTTTTTAGAAATCAAAATCAAACAAGCTGATTACTATGTAAAGTTTCATTACTTTATGAGAGAAACAAAAATGAAGGCAAAATTGATTCCAGTGAACCACTTTCCAACAAATTGAGATCCGTCAGCAATATTAATTTCTTTTATATATATAGATAGCTGAGTAGTTTATTTAATATTTTATTTAAATTTAAAAATAAATAAATTTAAGTAACCTAAAGAATTTAATGTGACGCAAAAGTCTAACCGATTTAAATCACTGAAAACTGATCCAAACGATTTGGTTTGTCTTATTTGCAAGTAAAATAAACAAGTAGGGACCAAGTTGGACATCTAAATCGAATTTTATTTTTTATTTTTATTTTATATGAATTTGTCTAAGATGGCGTTCATATCGGACTTTAGCACATTGGAGATAGGCACAAGGGATTAACCTTGGTTTACAATCATGAAAAGTCAAACACAAGAGAAGATATAATAACGATACCAATTTAGCTTTAACAAATTATGATGGTAGTGCCTATATTTTAGTTTTTTTTTTAATTTTAATTGATTCTAGTTTGATTTTGAATTTATGAATTTGTTTCAATTTTGGCCTAATTAATTACAATTTTTAACAATTCTTTATAAAAAAATATATACACGTAGTGTTATGTGTCATATTTTTAAAGACAAAATTATAAACTTACTCAATTCAATAAGTTAATTTCAACCAATTTAGTGATAATTTAATAAATAAAAAAAACTAATGATATTATCATTTGGATTTAATTGATACAAAATCTAAAATTAAGAATCAAAATCGAGTCAATTAAAAATATAAAAATCAAAAATAACAAAAGTAATAAAATATAGATACCACAAACATAATTTGTGCATATTTATATTTCTTTTGTTAGATAATGTCTCAATGGGACCACATAATTACATGTGGTGTTATCATTTATAAGAAGCCTACAATTTAAGTGATTCAATTTAGTTAATAGGCTTAAGGGTATATGTGTTATGGACCTAATGTGTAGATACTAGTTGTATAATTTCTATTTCTATGAGGGGCAGAAATAGATATTAAAACATATGGGTTAAAGTTGGTTTTCATTACCTTTCAGTTTTAAACCAATAATGGTTAATTTATTGGTTTTCATTACCTTTCAGTTATGAAAACCAATTACAACCTTTAAAAGGTTATGGTCCCTATTCCTTCCCAAGTGGAAAAATAATATTTATATATATATTTTTTAATTTTTTTAAACTAATAATTTAAAAGTTATAAATATAAAAGTTAACTTATAAATTTCATATATACTACAAAATAAAATATTAAATTACTTCACGATAATTATAATGATTTTTTTTAATTTATAAAATTCGTGCATAACACGGGTTACCACTAGTTTTTTTAGTGATTTGAAAATATGAAATATATTGGATCATACTTAAAACTTTACAAAAATTGAATAAAAAAATTATTTTAAACGACAATAAATGTGATTCTAAAAAAAAAAATATACGTATCGGTAAGTTTTCTTCAAATTGTGCAAAAAATAAAAAAAAAATACAGTTCTGGCTGTTACACTACAACCTTTTATCCGCAATTACTATCGCGTCACCGCAACCGTTAAAGTAATCACAACCGCTTTTCAAAACTTTGCATATAAGTTTGAAAAAAAACAATAATATATATATATATCATGCATGCAAAAAAAAAAAAAAAAAAAGAGGTGTGAATTAACTTATTTACAATTGTCTATATTGCATTAACTTATGTATAGCTGTCTATATTGCATAATCAAAACATAGGCAAAAAATATAGTTTCAAAAATTAAAACATAGATAGTGGTTGTCATTTAGAATTTTGAGAGCATACGTGGGTTAATCAATCATCTTCTTGACACATTACTGGATCTATAAAGTGTGTCTAAAAAATGAATTTGTATATCATTTCCTTAAAGTATCATGTAAAATAATACAATTCTAAAATCTAAACAAAGAGAAAGTGTATAAAAATAGCTTGCGAATTCCTAATATGCAGTACGAAACTGGATGCATCTCCATCTATGTAGATTCGAATAGATGCATACAATTCTAAGATTCAACCCAAAATATTCACAACATTTTTGTATGGATTCGAACAAATGAATACAACTTTAAAATTCAACCCAAAACATTCACAGCGGCCTAATCCATGATGGATAGTTGTAAATAATATGTACAACAATATGGAACTACGTAGAGGAAATAAGAAAAAATTTATAGTTCAATCATCAATTCAAAAAAAATAGAAGATAAGTTTGTTATAAGACTTTTGAAACAGAGGAATAGGAAATTGATTTTTTTTGTGTTAAATAAATAAAAAAATGTTAATGTCAAGAAAAAAAAGAAAAAGATAATTAGTTTATATAGGACTCTTTATGAGTTTGTGCACAATGTAATGGTTGGATTTAAATCCAAAACCTTTTAAATTTAAACAAACACCTATTCAATTTAAAAAAAATATTAATTGTACAACTTTCAATTTGAATTTGAAATTTGAAATTTGAATGAAATTTTATTAATTGTTAATTATTTAACAATAACAACATATATTTATATAAGTAGTTGATATTCGTGGTAACTATGAATTAAATTTGAATTTTCATCATTTCAATATAAGATTAAAAGTTTGAGGATTTTTTGTTTAGAATTATTTATTTATTTATTTTGTAAATGATTATATTTGTTTTTTGTTTTTGTTTTTGTATGTATGTAT